ATCATGCACTGACATAGTATGAATATTAAAGAGGTTTACGACCTTAGATGTTTCCGTTTCTCTAAAAAATAGAGATTATATAGGGGTTAGTCCACTTATTAGTTGGTATATGAAGTTTAAATAAATTACTTATTTAGAAATTAGAAATGATTCCCATCTTACCATGAAAATAAGTTTACCATACATTTATATAAATTTTCCGTGTAATTCGTTATTTTTTAAATAACTCTAAGAGATTAAATATTATAGACAATTTTTTATCGGAAAATTAAATATTTTCGTAGCGGTTAGCCCACATATTTCAACATAAACAAAGAAAATATGATATATTTGTTTTATAGCATAGTTGAATCATTCACTGACATAATCTGAATATTAAAGAGGTTTAAGACATTAGATGTTTTCGTTTCTCTTAAAAAAAAGAGAGATTCTATAGGGTTAGTCCACTTATTAGGTGATATAAGAAGTTTAAATAACTTACTTATTGAAAAATTTGAAAATGATGTCCATCTACTATGAAAATAAGTTTATCATACATATATATAAATTTAGGGTGTGATTAGTTCCACATATTTCAAGATAAATAAGAAAATATGATATTTTTGTTTTATTGCATAGTTGAATCATGCACTGACATAATATGAATATTAAAGAGGTTTAAGACCTTAGATGTTTCCGTTTCTCCAAAAAATAGAGATTTTATAGGGGTAATCCACTTATTAGGTGATATATGAAGTTTAAATAAATTACTTATTGAAAAATTATAAATTATGCCCATCTACCATGAAAATAAGTTTACCATCCATATATATTAATTTAGAGAGTGATTAGTTTTTTTTAAATAACACTAAAGAGATTAAATAATATAGAGCATTTATCAGAAAAATCAATATTTTCGTAGGGGTTATCCCACATATTTCAAGATAAATAAGAAAATATGATATTTTTGTTTTATTGAATAGCTGCATCATGCAATGACATAGTATGAATATTAAAGAGGTTAAGACCTTATATATTTCCGTTTCTCTAAAAAATAGAGATTTTATAGGGGTTAGTTCACTTATTAGATGGTATATGAAGTTTAAATAAATTACTTACTGAAAAATTAAAAATGATGCTCATCTACCATGAAAATAATTTTACCATAAATTTATATAAATTTAGGGTGTGATTAGTTATTTTTAAATAACACTAAATAGATTAAATATTATAGATAACATTTATTAGAAATTAAATTACTTATTGAAAAATTAGAAATGATGCCCATTTACCATGAAAATAAGTTTACCATACATGTATATAAATTTCGGGTGTGATTAGTTATTTTTTAAATAACACTAAGTGATTAAATATTATAGACAATTTTTTATCGGAAAATTCAATATTTTCGTAGGGGTTAATCCACATATTTCAAGATAAGTAAGAAAATATGATAGTTTTGTTTTATTGCATAGTTGTATCATGCATTGACATAGTATAAATATAGAGGATGACTAACCATCTACCTGAGTGGAACTACTTACCAATTTATGGGGTCTTATTTTTCTATGTTAAGTTATATAATTAAATCTCGTATTATATAAATAATTGAACTTGGAAGACAAAGGGTAATAGTCTTTGAGGTGTGAATTTAAAAAAAAAATACTCAACTACACCTATACGCGTCTTAATGCATAGTTACTGTGCACACATAAAAAATGCATACGGTAGAACCTCTATAAATTAATACTCGATAAATTAATAATCTCTATAAATTAATAAATTTTGTCGGTCCCAATTTGGGCCGGTTCAAAATTTGACATAAATCGATAAAATAATAAGATAATAATTTTTCAGAAATTTCTATGTAAATATATGGTCCCATTAAAATTATAAATTAATAATTATATGTATACATATTTTATATAAGTAAGAACATATCATTATATTGTTTGTTTTATATTCACAATGAAATTCTCTTTATATTTCTTAACACTTATTATATTTTTGATGAGATTTGATAATATTATGTCTAAAACCCTATTTAGATTATGTGCAATATATATTATATACAAAAATTAATATAATAAAGTTGATATAAATGTCAAATTTTTTTAAAAAAAATAATAAATGTTTATACAGTAAAATCAAATATTTTTCTTATTTTAGAAAAAAAATATGTTAAAATAAAAAAAAACCTAAATAAGGAAACTTTTGTAAATTAATATCTCTAAAATTAATAAAATTTTAAAGTCCCAACATTATTAATTTATAGAGGTTTTACTGTAGTTACTAAGTGTCAACTGAGAACTTTGACAACATGCATTGATCTGTGATCTACTTCACATTTCCTACCAACAACAACAGGAACAAATGGCAATCCATCTATCTACCTGAGTGAACCCAGGCCACTTACAAATTTATGGGGTCAGATGACTCACACGTTAAATTATACAATTTAATCTCATTTTATATAAATGGTAGAACCTGAAAGACAAAGGGATTCTTTGAGATTTATGAGACCATAAATATTTTTGGTTAATTTTAATAAAACTTTGTATAACTTAGGACACGATGAATAATAGCTGTTTAAAATTTGAGAGACAAAACAAATATTTCATCGGATCGTATCCAAATGCAGCTAGAATACAGCCTTTTGAGTAAATATGTCAGTGGATAGTTTCGTTTGGACGGTTTAATTCGTCAAATCCGTTCTTTAGCTTTATGTAGATTCTTCATTCTTCAACAAGATTGGTTCATCCGTCCTTGGGCAGGAGTTTATTTTGGCAGAGTGGAGAATGAAGAAGCAGATGAGGGTGTCAGAAACTCAGAATTATTGCAATAATGGGTCTGACTGTATTATATTTTTATAATAAATAAAGGTGGAAATATATTTTCCACTAAGTTATGCCAGCTTGAATCCAATCAAGAGTAAATGTTGTCTTTTTGTGGTTTTTATAGTTAAGTTTTTCCTATCGCCTTTTTCTAGAGTAAAAGTTTTATTCTGGATATATATTTTTCTCTTATTTTTTTTTTGTATTCCATTCAGTTTCTCCATTTTAATTCCACTTAGTTACGCTACTTTTTTCAGTCAACTCACACTCAATATGTATCAGGTAGTTGAGTAGCTTTTTAATTTTGTCTTTCAATTAGTATCCAAAAAAATCAAATCCCTGGAGATTTGATATGACGCTGCAGCGATAAGATATATCATGTATGTATTGATCTAACTATACTAGGTCAGTCGCAAGATTTACAACATCATTTAAATAGTACAACAATGATGTCATCACCTCGAGGTCATTGTAGAAAGTGATATCCTGAGAGTACCACCAATAGAGGTATCTAATCCTAGGATTCTCAATATATATATTGATATTTAATAATGAGGTTCTTAATTTTACAGAAAATTCATTCCAAAAATTTTGTGTTAAATTTCTAGATTAGATTTCTCATAAAATTAAGGAGGTGTTATTCAATGAGTGTTTTTAAATCATTTATTAATATTATGTAATCCATCAAAATTTAAAATATTAAGAAAGTTTAAGTTCATAAATTCTAAAATCTCTATAGTATGTCTTGGATTTTGAATTTATTCATTTGTTCATAGGAATCTATAGGAAATTATTTGAAATCAATTCAAAATACAAAGAAATTTAAAATCTTTAAAAGTTGAATAACACCAGATTTTAAAAACTAGATTTAAATCATTCATTGAATAACACTAAATTTTAAAACAAAATTTAGAATCATCATTTAAATAACAATAGATTGTATTTAGATTTAAATTCTATTAAAATACATGATTGAATAACACCAAAAACTTCACCATTACATATACATATATGTATTTTGAAAAATTCAGAATTAAAATTTTCTATTGGAAGTGCTCTAATACCCGAACCAAAAAATTCTGTCTCTTTTTCCAATATTTCCTGAATAACAAAAAAAAAGCCAAACATAAATTAATGATACACTATATTGTACTTGTGGCAAGTTCATTTACGTTGAATTCTAAGATGTTAGCACTTGGATGATGAATTATAGTATACATCAAACATAACATTTACCTGTTGCCCCATGGATTCATGGCTCAGGGTCTCCCAACTCTCGCTGTCCAAGCACACCAATTCAATATATATAGAAGATGGAGCAGTCTGCTGCATAATGCATAGAAATAATAATGAAAGTTGTACTATATCTAAACTTTTACTATGTACAGGATCACGAGAGCGTATTATCTAGCTACTTAGCTAGTACTAGCAGCATTAGCACAAACATGAAAGAAAAGTGGAAGATCACTAATACTTACTTAAAACATTTTTTATAATTTTACTTTTTAGGGCTGTGTACACTAGCAATCATTCTAGTTCCTTTAAAGCTCAAGTGCCGTGACTCACGTGTTTATCGTGGACCAGCTAGTACCTAAAAATGATTAGAAAAATATTATGATCACGTTTCACCACCCATTTTATAAAAAAATAGGAAAATTTGCAAATGGGAATATATATATATATATATATATATATTCCATTCTATTCTCCATTATGACTCCTCTGGCTGATATCAGAAATCAACCTTTGGTTGAATTCTACGAAAATTATGTATTTACAAATATCAATAGTAGTGTGATTCAAGTCATTTATAGATGTAATGATATTATGAATTTTTGAAAAGCTGTAACATTTATTTATTGTTAACTTTTGATTGTTTTATAATATTTTGTCAATTTAGTTGTAAATGTTAAATTTCTAAAATTTAAAACATGAATTAGTTTTCAAGATTTTTTTTTATTTTCCCTTATTTTTAGGAACTAGCTACTCTTTCCTTTTCGTCTTTGGTGATGGCCCACACTCCTCTCCATGGTTCCTTTTAAAATTACGCGTTGATATATTATTGGCCATACCTCGCATTAGCAAAACTCGAATTCGCTTTGGCCTTTGTTTATTATTCCTCTATAAAATGGCAGTAAGCATGAACGTTAATTACAACCACATTCTCAAAATCAATCTTATAACCACCAACAATAATGTCAAACCATCTTCAAGAGCCCTTATCCACTTACACTAAACCGGTTTTAACCAAAGAAGACCAAGAAGTCGACGAGAAGATGGTGAGCTTGCAAGCTGAGTGTATAGTCAACACCGTGGCTTTCCCCATGGTTCTCAAAGCCGCCTTGGAGCTTGGTGTCATCGACACAATCGCTGCAGCAGGCGAAGGCGCGTGGCTCTCACCAATTGAGATATCTCGTAGTCTACCAACAAAACCCACTAACCCGGAGGCGCCAGTGTTGCTTGACCGGATGCTACGGTTACTCGTCAGCCACTCTATTTTGAAATGCCGTATGGTTGAAGGTAAAGAAAACGGTATGGAGAGGGTTTATGCAACCGAACCGGTTTGCAAGTATTATTTGAAAGATAGTGACGGTTCTGGTTCTTTCGTTTCTCTGTTTATGTTGCTCCATACTGAAGTGATTTTCAAGACTTGGTACGTACTTCTTTATTCTGTAAATGAGTATTAGACCAGTTAATAACGAATATTCTATACAAACCAATTATAAATGATTTTTTTTTTTAAAAGGACAAATCTTAAAGATGTGATACTAGAAGGAAGAGGTGCATTCAGCTCTGCCCATGGCATGCCAATTTTTGAATACATGAAGTCAGGTGGAGAATTTGCTGAAGTGTTTAATCGTACCATGACAGAACATTCCACCATGTTTTTGAAGAAGGTTCTAGAAGTTTACAAAGGATTTGAAGATGTTAACACTTTGGTAGATGTTGGAGGATCAATTGGCACTACATTAGGTCTAGTCACTTCCAAGTATCCTCATATCAAGGGTGTTAATTTTGACTTACCTCAGGTTTTAGCCAATGCTCCATCTTATCCAGGTACAGGACGACTTAATATTTTTGATAGGTTATATGATTAAGTGCCTCTCAAAACTTTTATTTATTTTTGTTTAATTTTGTTAATTATAGGAGTGGAGCATGTCTCTGGAGACATGTTTAAAGAAGTTCCCAAAGGAGATGCAATCTTTATGAAGGCAAGTATGCATATACAGTAGAATCTTTATAAATTAATATTCGAAAAATTAATATACACTAAATATTTCTATAAAATAATATAATTTTATAGTTTCAAATTGAGTTTTTGGTCTAATTAGTATATCAATAAATTTAATATCTCTATAAATTAAAAAAATAAAATTTTGGTGTAGTCCAACGTTATCAATTTATAGAGGTTTCACTGTATATATAATAACAAACATTAAATTTGTTATTTTTGGGTTTTTTTAAGTCCATTATTTCTAAAATAATGTGGTTAATTTGTTGATAGTGGATACTACATGATTGGACGGACGAACATTGTTTAAAGCTTCTTAAAAATTGTTGGAAGAGTCTACCGGAAATGGAAAAGTGATCATTGTAGATATGATTACACCAGAAGAACCAAAGAGTGGTGATTTTTCCTCTAACTATAAGTTTGGTATGGACATGCTGGTGCTAGCACTATACGATGGCGCTAAAGAAAGATCGTTTTCACAGTTGGAGAATTTAGCATTTAGTTCAGGTTTTCGTCGATGTGAAGTTGTTTGTGGTGTCCATTCATATTCTGTTCTCGAATTTCACAAATAGATTTGGAATCTACGAAAACAAGTGACGGGCCAACTGAATAAATGATGCGGATATGTACTTATTTTAATGATTTTATTGCATGTAATATAGTTTTATGGTGTTGGCTTGCTCAAAGTTTTACTTTCAGTTTGTGGTGTTTGCTAAGTATTAACGGAGTGTAATGACTCTGATTTGTGTGAAAGTGTGTTTGCATTATGTTTGTAACTGAGAGATTGTGTCCTATGCTTAAACTTTTGTTGGGAAATCATGTTCCTTGTCTAAAAAAATTTCTAAATTGAGAGATTGTATTATTTTAGTTATGTTTGTTATTTTCTTATTAAATGTATTGCATATGCATTGTTAAATTATATACTGTAGAAATTATTTTTGTGGCTTTGACTGTAGAAAGAGAACAATAATTTATAAAATCTAAATGTAATTTCACAACCAAATCTCTATGTAGTTTTTTATATTGTAACCTGTTAATATGTCTTCTCTTTTGAAAATATAATTCAAACAAAAAGCTTTCATGGTTTTCTTTTGGGAGAAATTAGGAACATTTTGGTTAAGTTAAATAAATTTGAAAAATGAATTGACCTGGTTGGTAATGAAAAGTCATGAACAAAAGAAGACCCAACAATGTCAAAAAAGGTATTGAAACTCAAAACTTGACCACAATTTAGACAAAGTATTCGTTAATTATATCTGTCACTAGGTTTTATAAACATTATATATATGAAGTAGGAAGAAGTTCATTGTTGCGAGCATATATCATATTCCTAAGACATTCTTTGCCTCCGACTTCTTCTAAGTCCCTGCAACAGATATTTGATCATTGAGCATATTGACATTAAAAGGACAAAGGAAAAAAGACAGGATTGTTCTCTTATAGGCTTACAATGTTGTCACTTGTGTTGGTTACTTCTGAGACTGATTCTTCTCCTGCAAAAACCAAATACATAACAAACTCAATCAAAACAAATTCGAACATTTCTATTCACTTATTAGAAAAGGACTAGGCTAAGCATTCATGAGGATCAATGGTGGTTAACGGAAGCCTCCTATGTTTAAGTTCCCATAAGATGGTTATTAGTAGACAACAATGATCCCAATACCTTAACTCGATTATTGAAGTAGCGTTGAGCAAAATTAAAAAGAGCAAAGCATAAATTGAGGAGTTTGTAACCATTTACCAGCTGTATGATTCAATTTGGTAGGCAACTTTTTTTTGTTCGTCTGCTGCTTTCTTGTAATTTCAGGGACGCTGCATAAAGCAGAGAGTATCTCGTTACATCATTACAGATGACACAGAGAAAAAGAGCAATCAGCAGTTCAATGAAAGCTGGTTGACTGTAACTCACCGAGAACCAAAAGATTCTGTCTCCTTTCCCAATGTTTCCTGAATAACAAAAAAAAGCCAAGCATAAATAACTGCTCCAACATTGTACTTGTGTCATGTTCGTTTTCATTGGAACCCAGGATGTTAACACTTGAACGATGAACTACCTGTTGCTCCATGGATTCATGGCTCAGGGTCTCCCAACTCTCGCTGTCCAAGCACACCAATTCAACATCCCCATTGTCAAAAGCGATCTGTATCAAACCAAATACAGAAGCTCGTGTCATAAAACTAGGCAAAGAATGGCGAAAAGGAAAAGCCATGCAAAATGTATATCCTATATGACCAGCTTCGAGCATAAACAGCTCATTGAATCGGAAGACTCTTTGAAAAGGAAATACTAATGATGCCTTCATATGGGCTTTAGAAGTCACAGACATACCTTGTGAGAGTTGCTTTTAGAGTTAAACCTTTCAACAGTGCCGTGATGGAAACTGGTAAAAATTGACCAAAATAAATTACTAAAACTCCCTCATATATTTGGTCGACTGTCTATATAGGAAAAATTTCTACCATCCATCAGCGGGGGAGAGTAATTTAATCCGCTGCCCAATGATTGCTTCGTCGTGGTTGCTGGTATCCTGTGACAGTCATTAACCAGTATCACAGGAAGGTAAGGATAGTTATATAAAGATCCAACATATAAATATACCTTTGACGTAGATACTACCCCGGCGGGTTTGGAAGATGTAACATTATTGCTGACGCTTGCTCCAACACTCTCCTTTGAACAAGTACCGTGTCTCTCTAGCTTCTTTTTAGGAATTTCCGACTCAACTGTTCTCAGAGATATGGTGGAATTACGAGAAAGATGTTCTCCCCCTTCTACTGTTTTACACTTTTTGGAAGTAACATTCTTCATATCTCTCGTACTTTTTTCAGGCAACCCTAAATGAGTGCGCTTCCTGCTACACCTAGTGTTGTTTTTGCTGGCTTCCGTCGAACCAGTCATTGAAGTTTCGATTTGATTGCCCAATAATAGAGGCAAATCTCTATCCTCCAAAACAACTGCTGGGATATCTTCTTGACACCTCTGATCATGCTTGTAAAGAGTTTAAGTTGACAGAAAAAGGATCAGGAATCAAAGCATAATGAACTATGAACTACTCTATACAAGTAAAATGGAAAAAGACGGTAAAAAAGATATACCGGAGAGATCTGTGATCGGAAAATATGAACTACTCTTTCCATGAAACTTTGCTCCAAAGCATTCCGAGTATGAGACTTAGCCTTGTTCTGCAGAGTACATTCTCAGAATCCTTAAATGTCAGATAATGTCACAAGTTGAGCAATATTGAGGCAATGCAAGACTTGCCTGGCTGTCTGACATGGTACTGAGGCTTAGTTTGTACAGCGATGATGGTAGCAAAATTGACCGTGGAGCTTGTGGGGAAGTGACGGCATTACATTTCAATGTGTTGACAGCTGAATAACCAATATCAGCTAGAATATGCAGCCTCTGCAGTGCAAAGCATAATCATATTAGCCTACGCATGGTAAACAAAGCATCTGTTTATTCACTGCTACCACGTCACACTTACAGGAGTTTTACAAGTATCATCAGCATCTTCAGCTCTTTTAATTGCACGTAAGATACAAAGCAAGAAAGGGGCTGTTTCCTTGTCACTAAGTAGCAACTGTAAGACCGACAACAGAGGGCTGACAAAGGGAAGATGTAAGAACACAATTTCAAATAGAAACCAATTAGAATCAATAATAGGAACTTGGCTATTACCCACAAAACCGAGCATAGACATGCTCATCCACGCAGTCTTCCGAAGGGAAATCCGGGTCATGTGCAAGAACATGGATCAGGAAAACTATCATGTAAGCTGGACGATCAGTGAGCGATTCCCGTTGATCTGCATCCCGACCTGCCGGAGCTTCTCTTGTAGCATTTCTGATGAATCCATTGATGTATCTAAGCGACTGAACAAAAGCCGAGCATATTATCAGAAAACCTAAAGTGTTAAAAACAACCGAAATATTCCCATCGTAGAGTAATAGTATTAGCAACTTACATCATTTTGCAGATCTCTGCATGGACCACAGACGGAAAACGAAAAAGCACATGCGTATCTTCTGGGTATCATATTTTCCATCAGTAGTTTGTGTAGTTTGGTGAGAAAAGTCTTGGTAATAAAAGCATTGGAGTCCTGACAGAAAACAAGGCAAATGATCAGAAAGAGAATCAAGTGCACCATAAACTCACCAAACTAATCCAACTTTCTGAACACAGATATCTAGTAAAAGAGACCAAAGAAACAATTACAAGCCAGACAGCCCTCACTGCCACTAAATGGTTAACACTACTGATAACATCCTTTCTTCAGGAATAAATTACAAGCCAGACAGCCCTCACTTGAAAAAACAAGCAATTAGAATAATATTCAAGAATCTTTAAAAAACGTTGGTTGTGCAAGATGGAAGGCCTTTTACCTTTCCCACCGAGATGGTAAGACGAAAAAGTTCAGGAGAAATATGAAGGTCCCATTTCCTTGAAAGCAATAAAACAGCTTTAGCAGCAGCCAGTCTAACATTAGCCCCCGTGTCATCGCTACAAATTTCAATAGCAAGTAAGTACCTTAGATCATATGAGAAGAGACAACAAGAATCAGGAATGTGCCAAAAGAACATACCATGATTTTATGCCATCATATCCTTGTGATCTTAGTGTTTTCTTCAAAATGTTTAACAAGTCATCGATTTTCCTAACGACTGGACCATGGCGAGGCAAGAAACTTTTCACAAGTGTTTTGAGCCCATATATCTGCGAAAGACAACATGTCAAAACTGAACATCCGTCATCCTCGTAAGCCAATTTTGAGAACTTCGTTGAACATATCCCAAATTAAAAATCTTAAAAGTCTCAAGGCTTACACTGCTTTGTTTAAGCTAATAAACATTCTTAACGATACAGTAATTCACATGCGGTAGCACTATTCCTATAACTTCTGCAATAAAGTATAAAAAGGCTGAACTTCATGCTAAGTACTCATAAATCTAGAACATGTTGAGCAGAAGCATTACCAACGGCCTACTTGTTTCACTTTGTAGTTGCATGTTGAAGACCTAAACTTTCTAAGAAACAAATAAATGGAAAGCAAAAGTGTTCTTTCTCCAGCACTTACCTTCAGCTTGCAAGAGTTACAACAACCAGAAGACTGATCACAAGGAGGCTGATTGTCAGATGGTTCATCCTATGAATATTACCATCAACAATAAGAAAAAATACAATAAAATAATGAACCAGCTGGATATCTTCATAACACTTTTGAAAATAGCACCTCTTGCCACTTACTTGAAAAACTTGGTAAATGTAGCTACTGATATCTTCATATATATTGTCAAAAGCCACGACAGAATATTGCCCAACACATGCCAAAGATTGCAGAGTTGTTGGAATTTTCCGTCCACACAGCAAAGAATCTCTGAGCTTCTGAGTAAAAAAAAGAAACAAGACAATCAATGGCAACACTCAACTTTCTCTAGAAATGAAAATTATCACTAAAAGGTAATTAGGTGAAAGATGTCTCTATAAAATAGGCTTTCCGACATATCAAAGCCATGTTCCCTAAAATCGTTGTCACATGATCACAAAAACTCCACTTAAGCCAAGAGTTAGGCTCCGGAGAACATAAAGCACAATAAAGTTATACGCTAAGAATCTTCAAAAGCTACTTATAACATTCACATAAATGCCTTCAATCTGAGAAATCGATGTGTAATCAAGTAATGTAGAGTAAAAGAAATAAACGCAGGTTGCAGAAAATATAACCTTGCATAATTCGGAAAAGACAGATATTCCAGATGATCCGGCCAACGAAGCAATGGCAGAAACAGCATGTTTTGCCTGAGAACGAGTACCCTCCAGACACATCTTCTCCAGAACAGGGAAATATTCACTGCGAAAGTAAACCAATGTCTAAAGTATGTCCAGGTCTCACTAATCCATACATAGAATATTAGTTGTCTAGGTATGCTAATTTACATATGCCATATTCAAGAAGAGCAAAGTATCTAAAACGAGCTCAAAGCATCTAATAAATCTATAAATTTTAGTTACTGTTTAGAAAAGTAGACTATATGTTTGACTAAAAACAATAGACTATATAACGTGCCTATACCTGAAATTTTGTATTCAGAGTGTTCACTGTATATCGCCGTATAATAATCTTCTTCAGATAATTTTCCAACAGAGAACATCTATTAGTTATGGGAGGAGTACAGAATGAAAAACAAGCAGCACAATGAAACCCAATTGCAGTGCGGGGTATATGGAACATACCATGTTACACATTTCTCTAGCAACACCAAAATTCTATCCAACTGGATGACCATATCATAAGATATCATTAAGCAGTACAGCATAATAGTAGCTCTAGCATTCGAGATTGTACTCTGACTACCAGCCCACGTAAATAAACTTGATTGCTACTTAAAATGATAACTTAACCTAAACCCATTGCAAGTCAAATAGTGCTGACCAAAAAAGAAAAAAAAAGGTTACCTGAAGTCGGCAGAAATATAAGGAGCTGCCTTTGACAAAGCTTCAGTTAGCTCGTCAGCGAATGAATCATTGTCCTCTAACAGCTCCAAAAACTGTTTTTCTGAACCTCTCAGGTAAGAAGGGAACATGTTGAGGATTACCTAATTTAGGAAATCAGTAACTGTGTCTCATTTTCATATCCCAAGTCGATTTAACCATAACACTAATGTATACTTAAGAACGATGATATTCATAAACTAAAATTTAAATGTTTTATGGATTATGGAACATTAGTGCACAACAAAACACCTTAAATGAACAAAGGACGGATATCAAACGGAACAAAAATAACTTAAATGTAAGGATAATAATTAGAGAATGCCAGCATGTTTCTCTACATTTTGTTCTTACCAGAAGTAGTTTGACGAAAGGAGCCTTCAACTGCGTGTCAGTAGAGGTGCTGCTAGAAAGCTGATCCAGAAGATACCGGACATGCTCTGAGCTAAATATAGTAGGCGCACCTTTTGTAGATAGTATACGCAGGAAGTCGAAAAGTTGATGATTAGCACCAATTGTCTCTAGAAACTTCTCCTGAAAAAAGAAAGAACAAATACATAGTGAAGTTGAATATCTATACTATGCACAATCAAGGGTTTATTTATTTTGCTTCATTTTGAATACCAATGCCTTTCCAGAAAAATATACTCTTAATGATAATACTAAAATAATGCAGCACAGAATTAGTCAGTAATGAAAATGAGTAGAATATTCACGTTACTGTAGATGTTTCAGAGAAAAGGAGAAAACCTACGAATTGTAAAATGAATTAAACATAAATTACGCATAAGTAAATCAACATAAAAGTGTGGACTTACTCTAATAGTCTGGGCTTTTGTGAATGTCAGTTCATCCAGCAGTAGAGTTAAAGCCTCAAATATTGATGTGTCGCCCATTTGGTCTAATTTGTGAAACAAATCTTCTGCCTTAGAGGCGTCTGGAAAGCAAGCTGAAAGCTTTACAAAATAGCTTTTGTGTTTTCTTTTCACTTCTTCTACATTGTGATCCTGAAGCAAGCATCAGAATAAACTAATAAAGTGAGCACAAAGGTTTGCGAAGCCCTGAGGATCTGTAAGCACTTTAAGAGATGAAAAGAAAATACGACCTTGGCCTCCCTCCAGAGAGTCAGGCAATGCCGCAAGTCACTTTGAAACCTGGAAACATACTGAGTGAATACCCAGAAAGCCTTTTAACTTATATTTGATGGTGGATCTTCTGGCTACCTTCTTTTCTGAGATAAAATTGAACTGAGTGACTTCAAGTGAATATTGTTCATGACGACAAAACATTGAACCCAGTGCCGCATCCTCTCCTCAACTGGAAGAAGACGAGGAAAAAGATCATCGGATAGCACAAGTTCCACATTATGGGACCTAAGTAATTCACAGGAATCTATTAGTTTGTCAAAAATATTTAAAAAACAAAAAAAAAAGCAATTCAAGGATAGTTGGTAAATTATCCTACCATGATTCTTTACAATCTTTATCGCAGCAAAGCAGCAAGATTTTGCATGGGATTTGCTCAAAATGATCATTTATTATCATATATCCTTCTGAACACTTGTCAGAGTACTTTTGATATACTTCTGACAGCTTCTTCAGAGCCTTCTTCCTAACAGATATCTTTTTCAAACAAAAGCACAATATGAAATAAGTGGTGAATAATCTTGAGACAGAATAGGCCCATAGTAATGCCTCATATACTTTAACGTAGAGTACCTTCTTATCCCGAAGCCTCTCGGTGGCCTCAGAAATCAGACTCAAAGGAACATACTTCATATTCGACTCCATTATATCACAAGCAATAACCAAAGCTTGTGTTCTAACCCTATCATCAAAATCTAATAGGCGTTCTTGAATGGCAGCTGAGACATTAAGAAGTCAAGGAAGAACACCAGGATTATTAGAAGAGAGACAGAAATGAATAACCAAGGCAAAAAAGGGAAAGTGCTTTATGAATATTACTTAGCACTCCAGAAGCTTTAATTCCAGAGGGATTCGCCAAGTAACACTGCTTCCCACATTTCAATGCAGCCATTCTGACTTCTGCAGATTTATCTGAGAATCTTCTTAAGAATTCTACAAAAAGATCTCGATATAACTCCCCGGAACAGTGGTTAGACTGTGCAAAAATCCTTCCAGCTAAGTTCAGAGCTTTTATTCGCACATCAACCTGATCAGTCTGCAGAAAAAAAAAATAACAGCCCTGGTGAATACCCAAACAAACAAACAGGAATATAAAAACTAATTAAAAACCAAAGCAGCCTATACCTTCCCAAAGAACACGAGTTAATCAATTTCATAGAAAAGAAAGATCACATGTTAATTAAAGCGCAAATGTCTAATAAATACCAGTAGTTCCTGGGTCAAGTTCGGGATAACTGCTACTAGTATCTGGGGAGCATTTAAGGAGATCATGAATATGATTTCGTGATAAGAATCTTTGAGATTGGACTGGATGGAATCTTTCTCCATAAAACATGATGTTAGAAAACTGCAAATTAACGGCTCAAGTGTGTCGGCACAGTTTCTAATGAGGGAACTCGCAAGGTTATTAGCAGCAGGAGTCGCATCCTGTAAACACACGGTGATAAAAAAAATATCACCAGATAACTTTGCAAATCATAATCGATAGAAAACTAATCTCTGCACATCCATACCTTTCCCTCCTTCACAAGATTTTCAAGAATAACACCGACAAGTGCCGAAGTTGCCTCTTCTTTCAGAATATCAGTCATTATAGTTAGAATGTCATTAAATAAACTTTGTTGCGCTTGCTGAGTGTTAGCCTTTCGCTGCTGCACTTTAGCATTCTTCTGATGAACTAAGTTCTGTTGATAGTGCTCTCTGTAACAACAAGGGTAAAAAATGATCATGTTGTTACCAACAAAATACAAGAGTAGTCTCGTAACGGTAGAAAATAAAATGCTTCATCTCTCTTACCTTACAACAGAGAAAAACACGTTAAACATCTCGTGAATCAAGTCATGGCAATCCACGTCCAGCATTAGCAGACAACATTTACATCGAGAAACTGTCTCCAAAATCTTTGCCCTTCTCGAGAAATAAGGGCTTACAGTATCAGACAGCTCCGAAAACTCAGCAAGAAAGAGGTTGAAGATATCCTGAAAGAGGTTAAAACAACCACTTGAAGAAACACTAAAAGAAACATTTTTTATTGCAGAGGGGTTAAAAAGGAAATCTTCATACCCTGAGATACTTATCTTCAAAAGGCGGCTCAGGTGCCAGAATCCGAAAGATCTCACTGACGCAAACAGTGACTAACAAACTCACGTCGTTATCACGATTCTTAAGAAGCTCATGCTTGATAATGGATTTCTTCAGCGGTCTTAACTCAGCTTCAAGCAGCTTCAGAGCTTTCTTCTTGCTCACAGTTTCAGTCACTAAAGGCTGCTCAATCTGTGACAGAGTCGTAGCAGCTTCCTGTAAAATTTACATATGTAAACCCTAAGATCAGCGACTAAGCTTACTAATAAACCCTAAAAATCGATTTCAAAAAAACCGATCAAGTCAGATTTTCAAAACGGAATCTAGCTATTAGGGATTGTGAATCGAACTAGAGAGTGATGAAATCGAGATTCTTACCCGTAGTGATTTGACGAGAGAGCCCTTGTTGGGACGAGATGATTGAAGGAGACGAGAACCCATCTCGCAGACGATCTGCGTAGGAGTTTTCTCCATGCTCCGTACACAGCTAAATCGAAATCGAAAATCAAAACGGAGACGAAAGGAAAAAAACCCTAAGAACGTCGTCAGTGGAGTGAACAATCAAAACGGTGAGTCTGCGAGGACGACGGAGGAGAGGGGAAGCTTTGGGCGGGAGGGAGGAAGGGACTCTTTTTTTTCCCCCCTTTTTTTTATTAATTAGTTATAATAATTTCGGCGTGTATAAATGAGCCTATTAAAGGCCCAATTAGATAATAAGACTAAATAATTTGCTCTGTTCCGAAACCGGTTAAGAAAAATGGAGATCGAATCGGTCAACGGTAATAGTCAACAATTTGTTTAGTTACAAATCACTTTCTTCTATATGTCACAGAATCATTGAGTATTGTAAGACAATGGCACAGAACCATTGAGTATTGTAAGACAATGGCTGATAATATACATTCCGACGTTTAATTTGATTTTAATACTAATCAGGAGGTATATTCTTCAAATTAAAAAGAAGATTCAAGTAGAGTAGTAAGAGAAAATGATTAGGATAGACCTAATAATTTTTCTGTGACAAATATAGAATTTAACAATTAAAATGATCAAAATAACACTTAAATGTATATTATATATATTTTTTTTTGTATCTTTTGGGTTAATTAATACTAAATTTTTTTGTTTAGAGTTGAGAGAAGAAGATTTTGTTTCGTTTTTCCCGCTAATTGGATCTGAGCTCTTGCCGCAGCTAAGTTTAAACATAAGTGATAATTTTCTTTGTTTTTACCATTCGCTCACTCGTGAAATAAAAGAGGCAAGTGGACTTTTTTAAGTGGACCTCTCAATTCAATCTTTATTTACCAGATTACCCCTAATTCTTTCACCATTTCTAATAAAAGGTTACATTACCTAACACAATTCAAATGATTTATACATACAGTTTCAAAAGATAATTTTATTACATGAAATATTGGTTGAAAAAAAAATGCAGAAACATTTTAATCGTTGTACAAGCATATTCACTATTCATTTTGAAATGAAGTTTTGAATAAAATAAATTTTATGTTTAATCTAATTTAGTAGATTAACCTTTATAAAATCTGTATTTTCTGGAGAAACAAAGAAAACAAATGTCCCAAACCTATTTAAGTTAATGATGAAGTTATGCATTAAAAAAATATAATATTTTCTAATTTATCTTACGAAAAAATCGAGTTTATTTCCAATAAATATTATAAATTAAAGTTTAATGTTATTTTAAAATACCTAACCACTCTCTTAATTTATTTTAATGTATGTTAAACCTAGTTTCATAGTACATGGATATTATTTCTAATTTTCTAAATTTTTTTTGAAGTGCACAAACAAAAGCTTCGGCTATTACAATGGACTTGTTGTATGTCAAAGATTTGATTCTTATTCTTTATTTTTGGTTAGGTGTATTTTTAGTACATTTTCAATCTCATGAATGATATTACGTGCGAACGCACACCAATTAACCTAATGTGCACACTACCACAATCGAATGGTATGTCGATGTAACACTTAAGGATCGAATCCACAGAGACCAAATATTACACTTTATTTTTATAAGATCAATTTCAAGCTAAAACGATAAGTTTTGTAAAGAAGCAAATAGTGAGAAACAAGTAATTAAATTGGGTTTT